ATGAGCAACGTTTCAAGAATGGGTGCATCTCATCTCTGGCCACATGCATGCATCTCTGAGCCTGAGCGACAAGGGAGTGGGGATGATCCTCATGCGATAGTTTCTTACGCAAGTATGTCACCGACGTTCCCCACTGCAACTCTCTCAAAGGAGAGTCTTCCAGTAGGGTCTCGTGCCCTACCTGCAGGAAGCTTGCCGAAGCCATGAGATGCGTCTTGTCCATATTGACTGTGAGCCCCAAACCATCTAGGACGGTCCGCAGCTCCGAAAACATTGCATCACTGGAGGCCCATTCCGGGATATTGATCAAGATGTCATCTATATAGAGAATGCCATATGAGTGATGCAGGGAGGGCGGTCGCTGCAAAGCCCACCTATCAAACAGCTGTTGCATTTTCCTGGCTAGGGCGCAGACCCTAAACCCTAAACCCTAATACACCCTACATAAATCCTAAACCCTTCTTGAGCCAGGCCTGAGCCATAGGCGGCCGTGTGACGGAGGGTGGCCTGGGTCGTTGCTTCACAACGCGAGATCCTCCAAATTAGTCGGCTCTAGGTCCTTAGAAACCGTACCGTATACATATATATATATATATATATATATATACATGTATGTATATATGGATATATGTACATGTATACACATATACATATACATCAGGGTTTTTTGCCACCCGCACTGCCCACACCACACAGGGTTTAGGGTTGAGGGCTCATTATATACTTCGAACCTGCAGCATCAGACAGTGATGTGGAAGCCCGGGGCATAAGGGGGTTTCCGAAATTAGGGCTACCTTATTGGGGTCATTTTGCAAGGGGGTCCTACTATTTGGGGTGATTATCGTAAACCCCCAAACCCTAAACCCTAAACCGCCAAGGCACTGGTAGCTGATCAGGGCCTGGGCTCCCATCGTGTAGCGCATCGGCGGGTTCGGCTGCTGGGGGGGTGTCGCCTGGAGGTGCAAGACCCGCAACCCTAAGCCCGAAACCCCTAACCCTAAACCCCCTTGCCAATCCCTAAACTCTAAACCCCAAACCCTAAAACCCTAAACTCTAAATGTGGCCTGGTCAGGGCTTCTGGGATGGAGTTTGGGATCCCTGCTCTTTCAGGGATGTTGGGGGTCTTCGAGGGGGTTTCCGAAACACTGTTTTCAACGAAACCTGCTGCGACTGCACCCGATGTGGAGGCTAAGGCCTATAGGGTTTAGGGTTTCGGGCTAGGGTTTAGGGTTTAGGGTTTAGGGTTTAGGGTTTAGGGTTTAGGGTTTAGGGTTTAGGGTTTAGGGTTTAGGGTTTAGGGTTTAGGGTTTAGGGTTTAGGGTTTAGGGTTTAGGGTTTAGGGTTTAGGGTTTAGGGTTTAGGGTTTAGGGTTTAGGGTTTAGGGTTTAGGGTTTAGGGTTTAGGGTTTAGGGTTTAGGGTTTAGGGTTTAGGGTTTAGGGTTTAGGGTTTCGGGCTAGGGTTTAGGGACCCCCAAGCCCTGGGATGCGCAGGGGTTTAGGCTTCAGGGTTCACTGTCACGCAGCGTGGGTGGGCGGCGAAGAGCCGTGAGACTGCATGTCTGTGTATATAAAAATAAATAAATGAATATATATATATATATATATATAAGTCTACAACACACACACATATACACGGCCCATAAACCAAAAACATGGATACAAACAGGCTAGGCTTACTAAAAGTTGGGGTTTCCGTCCCTTTCCCCAAATAACTCGAAATACCTCAAGAAAATCGAACAACCACAACTACGAAAAAGCAATCCCAAACCAAGCACCCCTAAAATACCGCTAAGCCTAGATACCCTAACAACCCTAAACCCCCCTGAACCCTCCTAAACCCTGAGCCCTAAACCCTAAACCCTAAACCCTGAGCCCTAAACCCTAAACCCTCAACCCACGAAGACCCCGAACCTTTGAGGCTACGGCGTGGGGCTGCCAGCTCTGACTGCGGCTTAAGACAGCCGCAGGCGGCCTGGAGGTGAGAACAGAACTGGAGATAATGAGAATGGAGGTTTAGGGTTTTAGGGTTTTAGGGTTTTAGGTTTTCTGTGCTTTCCCAAGGTTTGGGGTTTAGGGTGAAGAAAAGAAGGCTGCTCAAGACAACTAGGGCTTCCACAGCCACAGCTGGCGCAAGCAGGCGAGGCTCTTGGGTGCGGTTTGGGCTCAGGCTTCAGGTTTTTGTCGCTCCCGCATCGCCCCAAAACCCTATAAGCTCAGCAGTGCACCAACTAAATTAAGGCTTTGGGGTTCGTAGAGGAAAATACCACTACCCTATTGCCCTGGCTATTTGGAAGGTTCATGCCAGAGCACTAACCTAACAGTACGAATGATGAAGAAGGAAAATGAGGGCCGCAAAGATGATGCTCCACTCCCTTCCGGCCCCCAAATACAACTGTGATAATGATACTGGCAATAATGGTAGTCTTGACATAACCATGATAGCGGTAGTAGATGCCCAGAATACTAGTACGAGCACGTATGGTGAAGCAACTAAACGAATTTGCGAAATCAATAACAAAAACAGCGCTGAAACCATACAGGCAAAATTTAAAGAACAATCATCATGCTATGATTCGTATCAAGATGAGTACTTGTATGCCTGATGATTTAGGTCTAGTATGAGTATGAATATGCGGGGATTAGCACCCCTCAGGTCAAGGTCATGGGTCACAGCCGAGATACACCACCGACGGCCGGGCATCCTCACAAGTTGTTTGTGTTGGCTTTTGTTGACTACTGGGGTTTAGGGTTTAGGTTTAGGGCTAGGGTAGTGCACATGACAGGTTCGCGATGGAAGAACCGCTCCCTGATCCAAATCCCCCAACAAGCAGGTGGCAAGCATTCCGACATAAATCTTCTCCAAATCCTACGGATCTCTCCAGTCGCACCCTTCAACTCATTCAACCCTCCCATCACCACCGCAAACTGGCCCGAAACCACTACTAAGTCACACCTGGCAGTGTTGTTTGGGTTTGGGTTTAGGGTTTAGTTTATTAGTGTATACAGGGTTTAGGATTTAGGGTTTCGGGCTTCATGAGCTGAGGCTTGAAAAGGGGCCTGCGGCGTCCACAGCGGGCGCGGCGAGCGCGCGGACTGCGGGGTGCTCACGGGCGTGCCGCTGGCCGAGACAGCAGAGGTGACCACCTCAAAGCATAAGCGGGGGAGGGGGGAGAGGGTGAGTGAGTGAGAGAGAACTACGCACACGTGTACATATACGCATACATGTCTGTATGGAAACGACAAAACAATTACAGGCCAGAGAGGTGGGAGAGTACTGTAGATGTAGAAGAGGGGTAGGACAGGAAATCCGCAAAAAGGTGGGGAAGTGGCAATGGGGTGTTGCAGGTTCCAAAAGAGGCTGGCTGGGGAAAGCAAGTTCTCAAAGTCATATATGCATTTGTGTATACATACACACACATATATATATATATATACGTATCTATATATGTATGTATATATATATATATATATGTGTATGTACATTTTTGTTGGGGGGGGGGGGGGGGTTGACTTTTTCCTGGTAGAATGTGGGGCCTCGCATTTGGGGGGTACTAAACCAAAAGAGAGCATATGTCAGAACTACCCGTAAACCTACAGGGATTAGAGTAGTCGACGATCCCAAGTTTCAGGATTCATTAGGAAGCCGCCTGGACGCGGACCGCAGTGGGCAGTTGCCTCGGAAGGTGCAGGGGGTCCACGAGAGGGAATACTGCCTAGCGTTGGCAGGCCAGGTGGTATTGCATTTAAAGGGTTTAGATGGGTTTAAGTGGGCTCGAAGGAGTAGGTTACCGAAGGCTCCGAGCTTCTCTGCGGCTCCATCGCAAAAATGCCTACCAAACAGCGGTGCTGTAGGTTTGGGAAGTTCTCAAGGCCGGGGGGTACTGTATTTAAGGGCACTGAGGCAAGTCCCCCCTAAACCCTAAACCCTAAACCCCCTCCTTGTGAATTTCTGGGCGCCGAGCGGGTTGGCGGAAGACCAGCGTGGCGGCCGAAGTGTGACCAGGCTACGAGACTGCGGCCAGGGCTCCCAAGTCTGATCATTGTACATCTGAGGTAGCTCTCTAAAACTTAGGGCCCCTTTTTGTGGGGTCCTATCCATAGTACGGGGCACCCTTAGAAAAGGACCCCAAAAAGGGACCGTTGTTTGGAGAGCTACCCATTTGCACCTTGCTATAGTACGTAGAATTAGTAGAAGCATGAGGATCGACGATGGTTGATACTCAATAACCACAGCTGTCGCTTTTTTGACCCTGGGAATCTTGAGGGTGATCTCGTGCCCAAGGTTCTGTGAGATCTGAATGGACAGCTCTTGGTAAGTCTTATTACAGAAGGTTCAAGGCCTGATTATGCAAAACGTCACACAGCACAGTTATGATGACAAGAGCATTGGTAGACAGCCGAGCTCGGGGCCCAGTCGCACGCGAGGGATAATGGTTAAAGGGCATGCAAATGTCAAGCACATGAAGCACCAGATTTCGCCTCCGTCAAAGTGGGCGCAGAGCGTGTCGACGAACAAGGTGACACCACCTGCGACTGCAGTGTATGTATGATCTAGGCGGGATGTCAAAAGGCCCTCCGAACAAATCCTGCCTGTGGCAGGATGCCAGCCGAGGGCACCGCGGACAGCTGCGAGATGCGGGGAGCCTGCATAGCTGGTCGCTTGCAGTGGAAACTGCATTGGATTTGCTGGTTGATCGCTTCAGATCTCTGGGCTGTTTTCGAGCTCAACTGCAAACAGGGCATCGACATACTGCCACTGCATTCAGAGATCTTCGAATGCACACACGTCGTTAAAAATGATTGTGCAGGGAAACCGCTTAAGGCACTCGCGCAGGACACGTTCATCCAATTCGCTGAAGCCTTTGCAGCTGCTGCATCGCCACGGGCCGTCGGCGGGGCTGACAGCGGGGCTGGCAGCACCTTGCACAGTGGAGACAATATCCGAGCAGACCTTAAGTATCAGCAAGTTTTGGCTATCGTTTCAGTGTCTCGCACTTGCGTCAGTGCGAAAGGTGTGCCATCGGGCCCCGAAACCGCAACTTTTCTTCCTCGCAGCCCAGTGCCCGGGCGCGGCCGGCGTCCCATGCCTCAAAGCAGGTCCGCCTCGTGAAGGCCCTGCAGAAGAAGCGGCGCGGATCGGCCACGAGCTCCGGGTGCAGGACGCGCACCGTCAGCACCCATCGCTCCTGCGCCCCATCGTGCCAGACCCGATGGTCGGAGCCGTCGTCGAAGGCGATGACGCGGCCGTCCTCGAAAGGTTGCGGTGTTCCTGCCACCTCGCAGAAGGAGCCGCTGCAACCCACGAGGCCTAGAGAAAGGTTGATCGGCACGTTGCTCCCACCATTGTGCAGCCTGACCTTGGTCCCCGGAGAAAGTAGGAAGACCACCACTTCTTCCGAGTTGTAGTGGATGTACGGCACGTCCGCGCTCGGCAGGTGCTGCTGCAGCAGCGCCGCTGTGAAAGGCATCAGCTCACACGGGCCCGGATTCCAGCGTCGACCCGAGTAGAGCTGCAACATGTCCCAGACCCCTGATTCCACCAGATTCGGATACGCGGCAAGCCTCTCCTCCCGTCTTTGCTGAAGCTGCGCAAACTCCTGGAGAATGGCCGGGTAATTCTCCTGCAGCACATCGGCAAGTGGGGGCTTCGGACTCCAGAAGGGCCGGTGCGAGAGCCCGGAGATGTGCACGGCGGGAGTCTGCTGAATGCTTTGCCAGGTGATCGGGCGCTTCCCCTGCCACACTAACTCCTTAGCCTCCTCAAAGAGCTCAGATGCTGCCTGCATCTCGCCCGCTGCTTTGAGGATGACCAAAGCATTGGCCAAGTGATACACCGTGGCCCGTTCCTCGAACTCGCTGCGGCTCCCGAACTCTTCCATGCACTCGCCGGTCAAAGCAATCTTCCGCATAAACTTGGCCGTCAGCTTGGGCAGCTGGTAGAAAAGCTTGGGCCCGACAGCACTGGTCAGGGCGTGGTGGAGGAAGCCCGCGTCGTCCGATGCGGACAGCACGGCCTCCAAGTGGGGCACCGCCCTGTCCAGCTCGCTGAGCCGGCAAAGCTGTGCAGCAGCAGCCACGCGGCGCCCAAGGTCCGTCGGGTCCTGGCGGATCCGACGCTCGAGAGCGGCCAGGCGCAGCTCCTGGGCCCAGCTTCGGACAGCACGAAGCGCCTGGATGGCCATGAGGGCGGGCGCTGGTGCTGCGATCTGAGGCGTCCCCTTGCTCACGCTTGCTCGGGTGGCTGCTTGACGTCCGTGTTCTGTCTTTCTGCGGCTCTTACTCTGCTCTGCATGCTTTTTGGCAGCTCACGAGCACAAATTGGCCGAGGAATGAGCAGCTAGCCCACAGCTGATATGCAACAACCACTGCAAATAAAGAAGAATGTACATACAAATATAAGCATATCAATAAAAAAAACAAATGATTCATAGTTGTTGCTTGTGTGCGTGGGTGTCCCTGATATTTGATGGTGATGGCTCCGCTTCTCGTGGCACTTCCCAAAGCGTCCCCGCCTGCGGTGGCTTGGCTTGGTCTGAGATGACCTGGACCTGGTACGAGGGTTACCCGAAGAACCCAAAGCCTGCTTTTTGTTGGCTGCCCAGGAAGTTCCACAAAAACGAGCCTACAAAAAAGTAGGTCTTGGGTTCTTAAGGTAGGGGTGGTTTAGCGGCTAGGCTCATGGCGTGTTCATCTGTCAATCTCCCCCCTGCGCCCTAAACCCTAAACCCTAAACCCTAAACCCTAAACCCTAAACCCTAAACCCTAAACCCTAAACCCTGCAACCCCTAGAACCCCCCCTCTACGACCCACAAAAACAGCTGGGAGCCGACTCGGGGGGCCTGAGTCAGCCGAGGTGGCCCCGGTGGCAAGAGGACCTTTCAGGGCATCGATTCTTGTCCCTTAGCCTCGGGGACTCAAGGAACTTTGTTTAGGGTTTAGGGTTTAGGGTTTAGGGTTTAGGGTTTAGGGTTTAGGGTTTAGGGTTTACGGTTTAGGGTGGGTTTGAGAGGCTTTGGGGATTTGGCCAGAATACCCGTCGCAGCAAACAGTGGTGGTGGCAGTTTAAGGTTATCTCAAAAGAATTCAAGAGACTAAGATCCCTTCCCTAGCAAGGGATATGATGGATCATGGTATGATGCCATGATTTGTGGGGGGGGGGGTCCCTGTGGCCCCCAAGGTTGAGACTCGCTGCGGGGGAGGGTGCCTACAGGGTGGAGCAGGTTGGTGGCATCTAGGCCTTTATGAGCCTTCAAGCCTGCAAGCTGCTCTAGGTTTGATTGCTGTGGGGCCTTTGCTTGAATTACATCTACATACCACTACTCCACTCTACAACAGAAGCTTCGGAATTCATCGCTGCCGCGCAGGACACGTGCTTAAGCCACACAACTGCGCACCGCCCTGTGTGTCAGCGTGCCTGCGAAGAGCGACGCGATGGAACTTGAGAGGGGGCTCGCGATGTAACTGGAGAAGGGACCTGGATGACAGGCTCAGCAGAACGCACAGCCCCAACACGCAAGGGCCCTAACAGAAGGGCCCTTAGCATCTGAAGCTGAACTGCCCTTGCTCGCAAAACACAAAAAGGACCGTAGAGGACCTGTATTATGGAGCCTTGACATAGCAAGTGAAGTGGCCTCAAGAAATACGGTGATTTCAGTTTCTGGCTTGCGCCAAGGAGCGCGCAATTAAAGGCCTGTTCTCAGACACTGAACGTGATCCTTGCCAGTCTTCGGATGCATCCGACGACTGGCAACTACCCATGGGGAGGACAAAGGCATGCAAAAACAACACCTGCTTCCTCATGGCACTAGTCCACGGGCTCTATGTCTCTCTTCTCAAATGGTTCTAGCCCCTAAACCCTAAACCCTAAACCCTGAACAGACTGCCCCGACAGCCTGCGAGACCGGGTGCGGCTTGATGACGACCGGCGCAGCCGTGACCTTTGCATCGACCCACGCCCATCACGGAAGCAGTCACTCATCTGTGAGCCACCCCTGTAAGTATGTCCTTGATTAAGAGGGTTTAGGGTTTAGGGTTTGGGGTTTAGGGTACTAAGGATCATCCGGGGCAACTAATTCGGCTTAGCTGAAGGGGGTAATAGGGGACCTTAAGCAGATAGGTATATAGCAAACAGATCGAAACCGGCACTGGTAGACAAAAAATGAGATCTAAAGGACTGCAACCACCTCAAGTTATCCTCGTATATCTGTATACTCTAGGTATATAGAACTAGCCTAAAGCCATTCTACTTCAATAAGCCCTTCTGAACCTGGCAGCTGCGAAAACCCAAAAACCCAAACCCCATCTACGATGAGCTTATATATATATGTACAAAAATAAATATATATATGTATATATATATATATGTATGAATGTACATGTATGTATGTATACATATTCTATACCTTCTTTGGAGCAGCTTTGCCAAGGCCAAGGCCAGCCAGAACCGACCAAGAGAGCTCCCAAGAATGAACGGAATGGAACTTACCATCGTAAGGATCCTTGCCCCCAGTCGAGGGAGAAAGGGGTTTAGGGTTTAGGGTTCAGGGTTAAAAGGGCCGAAACCCGAAACCCTAAACCCTAAACTCCAGCCCTAACATGGGATCATATACCCTTAGCTACGATCATCTCTCGTAAGGCATGTGGCCCACAAATAACTTTTCAGCTCAGAGGTTCATGCGGTCCCCAAATCCTAAACCCATTGCACCGACATCTCCAGCTTAGATGACCTTCTGTGTTAGCATGCCTCCCCCGCAGTGGACAAGCTGAGCAGCAAGCAAGCAAGCCCTAAGCTTCGGGTATAGGGTGTAGGGTATAGGGTATTTTCGGCACCCGGCTAGCTACAGCACTGCGGGGTTTCATGGTCGGTCTCGGAAAAAGAAGAATCACCCCAAGGTCAGGTTCGGAATGCCCTAACCCGGGATATCGCCAGGAGGCATTCAGATGAGGACATACCCGGAATCGTGTACTACGCCAACTGCCTTCCCCCGGTTCCCAGTACCCAAACAGGGACAACCAAAACACAACAGGTAAGTCAAACCAACGCAAAACCAGTTCCGGGGGTCACAGGAAGGTGTTGCGGTGCTTCACTCCATGGCAAGGCTTGATGAAGAAAAGAGAAGCGCCAAGCAAACCCCAGACTATCCCAACAAAAAGTTCCCAGCATCGAGCCCAGGGTTTAGGGTACAGGGTTTAGGGTTTAGGGTACGAGTAATACGAGACCGACCCCAGGGTGTGTGGGGCAGCTTCGTAGGTGCCTGCGCTGTGGAGAGCCGCGAGGGTGGCGTGGTTGGCCGAGCCTGGCGCTTGGCCTCATGAGAGCAATTTGGGGGGGTTTAGGGTTTGGGGTTTAGGGTTTAGGGTTTAGGGTTTAGGGTTGAGGGTTGAGGGTTGGGTTTAGGGTCTAGGGTCTAGGGTTTAGGGTCTGCCCCATGTTCTGAGGGAGCCCAAACCCCTCTCAAAGGACTCTTCTGCAAGCCATGACGCACTAAAGCATGTTCGTTCGTCAAGACTGAGGGCTATCAGTCAGGTCTGGGGAAAATTGAGTCTAACCTCCAACCCTAAACCCTAAACCCTAAACCCTAAACCCTAAACCCCAAACCCTAAACCCTAAACCCTAAACCCTAAACCCAACTGTGTTCAAAACCAAGCCTGCGCAGTCGCTTTTCCGTGAAACCCTACATCCTAAACCCTTATGAACCACATAAACCCCATAAAAATCCTGTAAACCCTACAAACCTATGAACCCTATAAGCCACACACAAACCCCAGAAATCTTAGACTCTTAGACCACACGGCAGGGCCTCCACATACTGCCAGGGCTTCACGCGCACGACCGAAGCCACAGCAGTGCTGGCTTGGGGCTCCTCTTCCGAAAGCTCCGAGGCCTTGCAAGGGTTTAGGGTTTAGGGTTTCGGGTTTAGGGTTCGAAGTTAACAAGTTGTATAGGGTTTAGGGTATCTCAAGGGCTGGTGGAGGGGTGGCGAAACAACATGGGAGAAGGAAGAATGCCCGATTTTTTTCGGACGCCGAATCTGGCCCTTTCAGGACCTGAAGGAGGCTCTGTCCTTCTTCTTCTTCTGCACGCTACAGTGCCCCTCGGCGGGGATTCTGCCACGACGGCAAACGGTTCAGCGGTCCATCAGGGGTACATACCCTCGTTTCAGGCCGCCTGTGAGATTGCCGTTGTGTTTCTTTTTTTGTTTTCCTCTGTCTCTCTCTCTCTCTCTCTCTCTCGCTCGCTACCAAGGTTGAGGTATGCACGTGAGATTAATCGTTAACAAGCCATGCCCTCTACTCTGCATGCCAGCCAGGTACCCACAGAAGCTGCTAAATGTCTCTGGCCTCCCTTCTCACTCTCTCCCCTCGCCTGTGCCCACTCAACACTTGCTCTCGACAGCCCGCACACAGCGCAAGCTAAGAACTGCCTGGGTGGAGAAGGAGTCGTCGATCTCACCACAGGTTGTATCCTTGCCGCGACAGCGGTTTCGAGGGCAGGATGGCTTGGCCTTCGAGGCCAAGTGAGCCCAAAAATCGGGGTGAATACCCCCAGTAACCCCCGTTTAGAGTACATGGGCGATACACCTTTTGCATTTGGTCCATCCCAAGATGAGGCGACACGCGAAGCGCAACCGCTTCTTCTGAGCGTTGCGGTGGAATTGAAAGACGGCCCACTGTAATGTTGGAGCTGCTTTAGTGCGCCCCCCCCCCCCCCCCCCGCCCACGAAGCGGTCCAGGTGTTTATCTGGTTTTTCAATAAAGGACGATTTGACTTAATTGCGGATCCCACTCGGACCCCCAAACAGTCACAGGGTCCCGAATACCCCCGCAAACTTGACCTTATACAGAAAGGCCCTTCTTCATTGCGCGTCCAGTAGTTGGTTATTGCATCGGTCTTCGCGACGAGCATTCGGAAGCCGGTACCCTGAACCCTACATGAACCCGACAAACTCTTAGACAAGCAGGGCCACAGGCTGTCCTCCACGCAGCCACACTTGTCCACGCTGCAAATGGCAAAGGCCTCGGGAGAGGAGGCAAAAACCCTCGCAAATGCCCTGTTCACTGCGGGGGGGGGGGGGGGGGGGGGAGTCAGGGGAGGCCTTGCCCAGTTTGGGTAATTGCACCACCGTGGCCCAGATCATAGCCATAATATCCTAAAACACTTTACCATATAGAAAATAAGGTGCAATTATCCAAAATGGACAAGGTAATGGGTCGCCAGTTTGGGTTATTACATCACCGTGGCCATATAATCATAACTAGCTCATTATCCTTAAAATACTCTATCTCATCCTATTTATCAGGTGATGTAACATCCTAAACTGGGCAAGGTTAGGTTTATTCATTTTATGGTTCATAGTATGGGGTAGTAGGGTGGTTTCAATAATAACTTAATTTTATTATTAAATTATTATTGGTGTATCATTGTATGTGTTTCAAGTTATTCTGGTGGGTTTGTGATTGTTCATGTTGTTTCAGCTTGTATTTCTTGATGTCGTAATTACAAATGGGACAAGTAAATATTTCGTCCTTAATTCTGTTCATTCGGTTTTGTCTCCATTCCTTGACCTTTTCCGGATTATTTGCTCTGTATTCTGCCTTAGTTGCTCTCTCGTGTTCCCTTGCTATGTCTGATTTATTTTCTCGTTGTCTTTTGTCCTTTGCTCTACAAGTATTACATGTTTTGTATCCTTCTTCAAATTTTTCTATTTTTTGATTGAACTGGCATTTACTGCAATATTTTCTTTCACTCATTTCAACACTTAATATATTAAGTTGTTATTTCTTTAAGTGCTTTTTCTTCAGAACTCGGTCTTAATAATTTCAATAATAATTTAATTATATTATTAAATTATTATTGGTAGACTATGTTACGCTCAAATGGAATTTTGCACTATCATATAATTTAAGAACTCTGTTGCTTCTTCTAAATATAAAAGTTCAAAGGGTATCTTATCATCGGCGTCACTTTTTAAATGATATATTATTTCAAGAAAAATACGATATACCATTTGATAATAATCAGCATAACCACATAAAGTATCATTGAAATAATTCTTTTTCTCCTGATGCCATTTATAGAAATCAAACTTATCTAGGTTTTCATACATTGCTTTCATTTCACTGTGTACCTCAAGTGTATATTTATCCTTTAAAACATCACCTTGCATTATTTTACGAACTTCATTATACTCTGGATACTTACATAATTTAGTAAAGGGTAATATATAATCATCAAACAAATTCCTTAACCAACAACATTTATCACAGCCATAGTAGTCTGTGATCATATGTGCTAAATCATGTAAGGAATCACATTTACCTAGTAATATTTGCTGTCTGTTCTTAACTTGTCTACATGAAGTACAGTTTTTGAAATAATCGGACTGTTTTAGTTCAGAATAAAAATTTTCAGTTTCATCATCAGATGAACTTTCATACTCACTCTCACTTTCATATTGACTCTCCCTTTCATATTCACTGTCACTCATTTCCACTATAATATATTAAGTTGTTATTTCTTTAAGTGCTTTTTCTTCAGAACCTTCCATAAGAAAACTTCCCGTGATCATTCCTTTCCTTTAAGCCTAGATTTTTATTATGATCTAAACAAGCCCTACATGTTTTATTGTATACCCTCATATAATGCTTACTTACAAACTCATCTACACATTTTACTTGCTTACATGCTTTACATTGCATATACTGTGCTTTACAATCACTACCTGTAGGAAACTCAACAGAAATATGATCATCTAATTCACTCATTATTATTAGATGATAATATTATGAATAGGTTTTCGTCTCTTCGTCATACTTTATCTTGTAATAGTCAAGGGTTGTTTGTTTCGGTTGCAAAATTTCCTTGTTATTCAGTTTAGTCAAATATGTATTCTTTTTATTCTCATATGTTGCATCAACTGGCGTTCTGTTAAAGTTTCTCGTAGGTCTTTCATTTAATAATTTCTCAATCCTCTCCAGTCTCAAGATGACATCTTGCTTGAATTCGTCTTTAGACAATAACTTCGTGTATTCGGCTTTAGCCAATAGCTTCGCGTATTCAGGTTTATCACCCATATACTTACATATACATTAAGTTTTTAAATAAAAACTTTTATATTAAAACTTTTATATTAAAATTTTCATAAACTGAATTATGAAAATTCTAAATTCCAAACTAATTAGGGATATATCTTATGTATATCCAAATTATGTAAGTGTTCCAAGATACTCCCCTTTCTCTTGCTCACTTACGATGTCTGGGGCTTAAGCAATTGCAGAGAGCAATGGGCACACATTCGGGGTGTTCATCCTGTTTCAGTTCCAAGAGGGGACTCCAAAATACTGTACAAACTGTCAATATATATTAGAAAAATATTTTTAAATATTAATCCAAAATGTTCAAATTTGTTTTCAATTGTTCAACATCTTTTTTTACATCGTCTACTTCTTCTTCAATTTTATCTAGTCTTTCTTCGCATTCTTCAGGGGTGATTTTCCGATGTTCTGACCATCCCGTACTACAAAGTTGAACGCCTCCAGTTTGTGGTGCTGTATCTGGTTTAAATATTCCATCATCAGGCGACACGCTCCGACCCATTTTAAAGCTAGAACGGTCTTCTACAACATTAACAACAACCTTATCATGTTCAGTTGTTGTTTTAGTTTCTTTATGGTATGTGTTTCTCTTACATCTACAAAATAAACAATTAATGCCATCTTTATTTACACTTACACCGCCATCAGTTCCATCTTTGTTATTATCTTTGTTTGAATCGTTCATCTATTAATGTATATTAGTTTTTCTTCAATTTTAAATATTGCAAAATCCCTTTACATATTTCCAACACCGAGTAGCAACACCTACGATATCTAGGCGTTGTTATTATTATCTGTTCTATTTCTTCAAGGTTGTCAATGACATCAATGCAATCACCGTAATTCATATATTATAACATATATATTTTTTCTAACTAATATTAATAATGAACGAGAATGTTCCGACGGTAGAACCAATTGATATACCCAAGTATCAGTTCAAAAATAGCAAGTATGAGATGATGCCATCCTTACCAGCGAGAATGTTGGCTGTGGCTTCCAGTACAGGCGGTAAAACAGTTTTGATACAGAACTTAATATTGAAGATTTACCGCAATAGCTTTGAAAGTGGACTCGGAAAAGGAACAGATATATTTCAATCATTACGACGCAACTGCCTTACAGAAAATAATAGACACCCAACACAAGGTAATAGAGTTCCAGAAGAAGAACAAAGACAAGGATTTATTCAGTATACTAATAGTCATTGATGATTTTAGTGATGACCCACGTTTTGTAAGATACTCCAATATTCTTCACGGATTATTTACCAGAGGTCGTCATAATGCTATTAGCGTCATCTTGTCCACTCAAAAATACAATGTTTTAGCGCCTATCATCCGTTTAAACAGTAGCGCGTTATTCATTTTTAGACTTAAGAATATGAATGAAGTTAATGCGTTTATTGAAGAAAACAGCGCTTTAGTTGATAAGAAGACTTTGTATGATATGTACCAACAAGCAGTAAATGATGCTCCCTATTCTTTTTTCTACATAAACACCAACGCTAAACACGCTAATAATATGTTTTTTATTCGCTTTGAAAAACGGTTTGAAGTTGATAATGATGAACAGGTCTAAAGAAATGATGACTGAATATATTAATACCACCTAATGCCACGAAATAAAATAGACTATTCTAATACTCATTTTTATAAGATTGTAAGCAAAGACCTAGATTTAAAAGATTTCTACATAGGACACACTACTGATTTCAAGACAAGAAAGAACTGTCATAAAAGAGTTTGTAATAATCCTAACGATAGAAATCACAATTTACCCATATATCAGTTTATAAGAGACAACAAAGGATGGGAGAATTTTGATATGATATTAATTGAAAAGCAATGTTTAAACGATGCGTTAGAAGCAACCAAAAGAGAAAGAGAACTTATTGAAGAATTAAAACCAAGTCTAAACAGAGTAATTCCATTTAGAACTAAAGAGGAGAAAAAGGATATTAAACAACAATGGACTACTAACAACTGGGAGAGCGTACGAGAATACAAGCATAACTGGCATAATGAAAACAAAGAAAGGATAAGCGTCAATAAGAAAGAGAAATACATACAAAACAGAGAAGAACAACTCACCAGAAGCAAAAAGTATTATCAAGATAACATTGAAGAAAGAAGGCAAACACGCAATCGCCTATGTAATTGCATTTGTGGTGATACTTACACTTATGCTAACCGAGCACGACACGAACGAACAAAAAAACACCAAGAATATTTAGAATCTTTAGATGATTAATAATATCAAAATAATATTATTAATCATCAGAATAATGAGAAACTACAACAGTTAAACGGTAAGCATTTAGAAGAAGTACCGCAATATCCTTTGTTTTTGTTTTTCAACTGTTCTATTTCATCTTCTAACTTTTGTATTTTATCTGTTAAATCTTGGATAGTGTTAAATATAATTAAGTCTCCCTTTATCTTTTCTAATTGTTCATTGAGTTTCTTTTCTATTTGTTCATCAATATTAACCATTATATATTATTATTTAGATTTTAATGTTTACTTTTCGTTTTTGCTTTTGCCTTTGCTTTTGGTGATGCTTCACCTTTTAGTTTCTTAACTTCCTTTTCTAAATCTTCTACTTGCTTTTGTAATTGTTGCACACAACCCCAAAGCACAACTGCTGTTTTATTATATGCTAATAATTTCATACCATCATCATTATAATATACGATGTTGTCCCATTCAGAGGGCATTTTAGCGTCTTTTATATCATCTGCTATAAATCCAATATGACTTTTTTTGTCTTCATCATTAATAAAATTATATGTTTTCGGCTTGATATATTTGACTGCTTTATAACATTCTTTAATATTTGCTTCCTTAACATTTTCTTTTAATTTAGAGTCTGATGTTTCAGTTAAAGCAACGCATGTTAAATTTCCTCCAATATCAGCGTTATTAGTTGTAGTAAAGAAACCATAAACATCAACACCTGTGTTTGTCGCATCTAATCTTGATAAATTATTATTGCTTAATCTAATAAATCCATCATCGTCTGGGTTATTAATTAATACTCT